GTACACAAGCACAGTCATCTTCATCTTTCTGCAACATGAAGCTCTGTACACCAGCAGGAAGCCTCAGCAAAATATACTAGGCCTATGGAAGATGAGAGATCACGCCTCGCTCAGTCGGGGTCCTCGCGAAGACCTCACGGGAGGGGGGGGGGCTGCCGGTCGAGGGTGTGCTTGGGTGGGGGAGTGTGACGTTATGTGTGTGTGTGTGTGTGTGTGTGTGTGTGTGTGTGTGTGTGTGTGTTGTGTGTGTGTGTGTGTGTGTGTGTGTGTGTGTGTGTGTGTGTGTGTGTGTGTGTGTGTGTGTTTGTTTTTGTGCGTTTTTTTCTGCATGTGTGTGTCATTTTGTTTTTTTTTTTTCGTGCATGAATTCATCACACAGGCATGTATGACCGTGCGCGCCGCCCATACATCGCTGGCTGAACGCATAAACTTTTCCCTCTGCCATGCTGCGCGTTCCAGCCAACATGGACGCCCAAATACACAATCCCTTTCGAGTCCTTCGCTAGGCATCCTTCCAGCCCATGCCCAGGGACTCCCACAGGCTCCTTCTCCCAGGACTTCTTCGGCGAGGGCGGGGCCTGAGGGCGGCGTGTCAAGAGTCCCCGAGAGGCCCGCGGGGTCAGTGAGGATCCCCCTCCTCCTTCCCCTCCTCAGGCAGGGGGGAGGGGGAGGGGAGCGCAGCGCGGTCCTGGGGCAGCCGGGAGGGGGAAGGGGAGGGATGGGGGGGAGGGGGTGATGGGTGGTGAGGGGGTGAGTGGTGGAGGAAGAGGAGGAGAGAAGGAGGAGGAGGAGGAAGGGGAGGAGGCAGGCAGAGACGACTAGATTTGGTGGAACCAGAAGAGGAAGATGTCCTTGTCTCGCACCAGAGTTTCCTGGACGCCTGGAAGGGAGAAGGACCTTGAGCTCGCCGTCCGATGCTAGACATGGCGGTAATAATGGTAATACTAACACTAATACCAATACTAATGATATTGCTACTGCTACTACTACCATGGAAATAATGGTAATACTAATAATACTAATGGTATTGCTACTGCTACTAACTATGTGCTATTGATATATCAATAATATGTAAGACCATGATAAGGATAATGATTGATAATGATAATGATATCGATAATATTAGTATTAGTAATATTAGTAGTAGTAGCAAGTGTAGTAATAGCGCTACTTCAAATACTACTACTAATATCTTTAACAAAAATCATTATGATAATCATTATGATATTGATGATGAGAAAATTTATAATGATGAAAATAAGAATAATGATAGAAGTAATAATGATGATAATGATGATATAGACAATAATGACAATAATAATGATGATGATAATCATTATCATCATTAGTATTATCATCACTATCAGCAGTGTCATCATCAGCATTGTTATCATTAAACGTTATTAATTGTTATCATTAAAATCATTGTTATTATTATTATCATAAACGGGACAAGCTTGGAGAAGAAGAAGAAGAAGCATTGTTATCATTACTCTTTTTACCATCATTACTCTTTTCATCATTATCCTTTTCCTCATCACACAACCCCCAACACCCTTCCCACAGAGCGCCTTCCGCTGCCCCTCCGCCTCGCCCACCTGTGCCCACGACGTATTTGTTGTCCGGCTTCGTGCCCGGGACAGGGGGCTCCGGGAGGCGGTAGAACAGCCAGAACCAGTAGCCCAGCTTCTGCTCCTTCGCCCCCGACAGCGTGTGGATGTAGAAGCCGTTCCCCCAGTGGGACGCCGAGAACCTGCGGGGGGAGGGGAGGGGTTAGGGGTGGTTGGGCGGCGTGGTTCCTGTCTGGCTCTCTCTCTCTCTCTCTCTTCTTCTTCTTCTCTCTCTCTTCTTCTCTCTCTCTCTTCTTCTCTTTCTTCTTCTCTCTCTCTCTCTCTCTCTCTCTCTCTCTCTCTCTCTCTCTCTCTCTCTCTCTCTCTCTCTCTCTCTCTCTCTCCGCCGCTCTCTCTCTCTCTCTCCCTCTCTCCTCTCTTTCTCTCTCCTCTCCTCCTCTCTCCCCCCCCCCTTCCATTAGACATGCACGCACCAAAGAAACGCAATCACACGCAAGCAAAACCTTTCTTCCAATAGACTTATGGGAAGGCGAGTGCAAATGAACCAGAAGAAAAGCCCTTGCCAGCTCCAGTGCGAAGATAAATGGAGGAGAAACACGGGAAAAATAGTTCGCTTGGCTCTTCCTCCTTTCTGGCTCGTACAAAAGACCTGCCACGCACACGCCTCCCTCGCTCCCTCTCGCCCCGCGCCGCCTGTCGCTCGCACGGGAGGCCGCTCTCGGGAAAACATTTCTCTTGTCTGATCATTGTCTGCGCATCTTTTTTCTACTCGCTCGCGCTGTCTTGATATATTTGCCTGTCTCTGTATTTCTGTCTCTGTCTCTGTCTCTATCGCTCTCTCTGTGTCTCTGTCTCTGTCTGTCTGTCTGTTGTCTGTCTGTCTGCCCCCCCCCCCCCCTCTCTCTCTCTTCTCTCTCTCTCTCTCTCCTCTCCTCTCTCTCTCTCTCTCGTCTCTCTCTCTCTCTCTCTCTTTCTCTCTTTTTCTGTCCCTCCCCCCCTCTCTCTCTGCAATTCCTCTCCCTTGTCTGTCTACTTATCTGTCTTTCTATCTGCGTATCTATCTGTTTATCCATGTATGAATCTCTATACTCATCCATTTTTTCTTTCATCCTTTCTCCTTTATTTATCTCTCTCTCTATATCTTTCAATTTCCGCTGATCTTTTTCGTCCACCAGTGTCTTCCCTTCTCGACCTGTCCCTTCCTGCGCCGCAATTCCCTTGCCCCTATTATCTCGCTTTTCCCTCCACGTCCTTCCCTTCCTTCCCTTCCTTCCTTCCTTCCTTCGCCCCTTATTTTTCTACACTCTTCCCTCCCCCACTCCCTCCTCTGTGTGACTTCCTTCCTGTCCTTTGCTCCCTTTCTCCCCCTCCCCCTTTCTTCCTTCCCAGCCCCATTCTCCTTCCCCTTCCCTCCTCCTCCTCCTCCTCCGTTCCCCATTTTCTTCCTCCTCTCCTCCTCCTTTATCTCCCACCCTTTCCCCCCTTCCCCCTTCATTCATCCATCCCCCTCCTCCTCCCTTCCATTCATCCATCCCCCTCCTCCCCTCTCCTCCCACTTCTCCTCTCCCCCCTCCTTTCCTTCCCTTTCCTCCTCCCTCCTTCCTCCCCTTCTTCCCCCTCCTTCTCCCGTCCCCTCTCCTCCTCCATCCCTCCCTTCCTCCCTCCCTCTCCTCCTCCTCCTCCTCGTCTCCCCTTCCTCCTCTCCCTCCCTCTCCCCTCTCCCTCCCTCCTCCCCATTCCTCCTTTCCTTCCCTCCCTCTCCTCCTCCTCCTCTCTCGTCTCCCCTTCCTCCCTCCCTCTCCCTCTCCTCCTCCTCGTCTCCCTTCCTCCCTCCCTCTCCTCCTCCCCATTCCTCCTCTCTCCTCTCCTCCTCTCCTCCTCCTCCTTCTCCTCCCCTTCCTCCCTCCCTCCCTCTTCCTCCTCCTCCTCCTCCCTCTCCCTCCCTCTCCTCCTCCTCGTCTCCCCTTCCTCCTTCTCCTCCTCCCTCCCTCCTCCTCCCATTCCTCCCTCCCTCTCCTCCTCCTCCTCCTCCCCATTCCTCCCTTCCTCCCTTCCTCCTCTCGTCCCTCCCTCCTCCCTCCCTCCCTCCTCCTTCTCGTCTCCCCTTCTCCTCCCTCTCCTCCTCTCTCCTTCCTCCCCATCCCTCCTCCTCCCCTCCTCCTCCTCGTCTCTCCCACCTCCCTCCTCCAGTCTCTTCCTCCATTCCTCCCTCCTCCTACTCCCATCCCTCCCTTTCCTCCTCCTCCTCCTCGTCCCCCCTTCCTCCCGACTCACACAAAGCGCTCGTCTTGCTCGGCTGCCATCTTCATGACTGTGAGGAAGGAGGTGTTCGCAGGCACGCTGAAGGTCAGGTTGAAGTTCTCCGTGGCGTTGTTTCCCTTCCAGATGATGTACGTGATGTTGGCCTGCGAGAGATGAGGAGGATGAGGATGAGGCTCGTATGAGGGAAGAGGTGCGAGGGGGAAGCGAGGTTTAGAGAGGCTGCTAGAAGGCAAGAGGCAAGGGAGTAAAGCCAGTGATAGATGAGGAAGGTTCGGGCGAGAGGTAAGAGGGTGAAGCATGGTTTAAAGAGGCCGTTTTTTTGTAAGCCTGTAGAAGGTAAGAGGTAAGGGAGGTCTTAGACTTGTATGAGGTAAGAGGGTGAAGCATGTTTTAAAGAGGCTGTTTTTTTAGCCTGTAGAAGGTAAGAGGTAAGGGAGTAAAGCCTGCAAGGGATGAGGGAGGGACGTTCTAAGGCTTGTATGAGGTAAGAGGGTGAAGTACGTTTTAAAGAGACTTTTCAAGAGGCAATTGTCCATGGTAAGAGGTAATAAAATACTTAAAAGAGGCTGATTCTGTTCTTGTGCAAGAGAGGTAAGAGACTGAGGTACGCTCTTAAGAGATAGGAGGGTAAGAAATACAGAGGAAAGGCATGTCTCTTAAGGAGCCTGTTTTACTTTTCTTTAGGGTAAGAGGTATGGTTAATGTATGTCTCACGTAGCCTGCTTGCATTCTTGTAAAGGGTAGCAGGTCTGGGTAAGAGGCTGTTCTTATGTTATTAAGGGAAAATGTAAGAGAAACGCATGTTCTCATGACGCTTTTCTTCTAGTGATATATTTGGGTAAAAGGGGAACCTCAGAATTAGTTGTACTGGCAAATACAGAAATGTAAATGTGATAGTCTTTATCAGGGAAAGATGTTAGTTCAGTATTTGTTTTGGGAAGGGAAAAGTTCTTCAGAGTCGGAGCTTCAGAGCGGGACTACTAAGTTAAGAGCAAGGTCTAATTGGATTAGCTTTTCATATGATTATTTTTAGCTTGCATTTTCAAGGATGTATCACATTTGTTTTGAGGAAAAGAATGGCAATATTAAAATGGAGTTTAGCTTTTCAAGTTCAATGTGATAATGAAGAGCAGTATTGAAAAAATAGAAAAAGAAAATCAATATTCAGTATATATTTCTAACTTTTGAAAGCATCAGGTTTCTGTAAACCCACAAACAAGATCGACCTACCATGACCTCCGCTGCGGGCGTGGGCGTGGTCTGGTCGGGGTTCTCGGTGGGCACGGGCGGCTCTCCGTCGGGGGCGTCGAAGTTGTCAACTGAAAGAGCCAAAGTTGTTGCTTTAAGAGGAAAATTATTGTTCGAGTTTTGTCTTTGACTTTCTTCGAAATATCGCGAGATCCTTATAATTCATCAAATATTTCTGCTAGATTAAAAGATTCATGGATGATATCAAAACCCGATCGTTATTTCTATTATTGTCATTGGTGTCATCCTCACTATCATCATTATCAAAGCATTTCCAACGCTATATTTGTCTTCGTCTTTGTTATCAATAAAATAATCCTCATTCCTCTCCTCCAATTTCTCGAATTCCTGCCGATCTTCCGTGGCAACATTCTTCCCATTCCCTCTCCTTCTCTTTATCCTATCTACCCTTCCTCCACATACTTCTCCCTTCCTCCCCTATCCGTCCTCTCCTCTCTTCCCTTCTTCTAATCCTTCCTCCTTCCTTCCTCCACCCTTCCTTCCTTTCCCTCCCCTCCTTCCCCTTCTTCTAATCCTTCCTCCCTCCTTCCTCCACCCTTCCTTCCTTTCCTCCCTCCCCTTCTCCCCTCTCTCTCCCTTCCCTTCTCCCTTCTCTCTCCCTCCCCCTTTCCCCTTCTCCCTGTCTCTCCCTCCCTCCTCCCCTTCTCCCTTCTCTCTCCCTCCCCTCTTCCCCTCTCTCTCCCTCTCTCTCCCTCTCTCTTTCCCCCTTTCCCCTTCCCTCCCCCTCCTCCTTCCCTCCCCTCCTCCCCCTTCCCTTCCCCACCCTCCCCCATCCCCCCATCCTCCTCACCCTCCGCATCCTCCTGGTCGACGGTGTCCTCCTCGACCCTCGGGCAGCGTCGAATGGCCACGTCGAGCAGGGTGCGGCCCCCGAGCAGCGGCAGGACGGCGTTGGTGTCGAAGAGGCCGCCGAAGGAGCCGTCGGGCCGCTGGTGGGACATGATGTACTCCTGGGCGCGGGTGGCGTTCCAGGACCCGCCAGCTGGCTCGCCATCATCGCCTGCGGGGAGAGGGAGGGGGGAGGGAGGGAGGGGAGCGTTAGTACTTTCGGTTTTGTTTCTGTTGTTGTTATCCTTGTCATCGTTAACATTGTTATTATTACTATCATCGATGTTATTATTACTAATATCATTATTGTTATTACTATTATCATTATTGTTATTACTATTATCATTATTGTTATTACTATTATCATTATTATTATCATATATTATTACTATTATCATCATTACTATCATCATTACCATTATCATCATCCTTTGTTCCAAACATTGCTTTCATCTTTATTATCATTACCATTTTCATCACTATGATTATAAGGGAGGAGGAGGAAGAGGAGACGATGATGGAAAGAAGGAAGGGGAGCAGCAAGAGATGTTAATGGAGAGGAGAAGGAAAAAATGATGATGGAGAAAGGGAAGAGGAGGACTGACAATAATGAAAGAAGATGGATTTAAAGGAGGAAGAAGCAGGGAGGAGAAGATAGGGGAAAGGATTAAAAAGAGAAAGAGAAAAAATAAAGAAAAAGAATGAAAAGATATAGAGTGTGAGAGAGGGAAACAGAAAAAGAAGAAGAAGAAAGAGAATGAAATGGAGGAAGAAATATATATAAAATTGCTGTGGCAAGAGAGAGGGATGATGGTAAAGGAACGAAAGATAAGGAATAATGGGAAGAATAATAAAAAACAAACAAACAGAAAGAAGAACAAAAATAAGGGAAAGACAGGTAGAAAAGGAAGAAAATAAACATTAAACGATATGAAACGAACAAGAAGAATAAAAAAAAAATATATATATAAGACAACTCCACAAAGAAGAAAGAGAAATGGAAGAAAAGATACATGATAAAAGAAATAGACCACTATTCGTATTCATGAGTCGAAAGGACGTATATGTTCCATGCCACATTACTCTCATTCCGCGTCTCGAACCACATTTATTCAAGGCTAATGGCCGACCTTCAGACCCGGATGATTCATGGTCCACGACTGTGCTTTCGGGGCCGCGAGAGGCAGTCGCTCGGGACGCAAAACACTCATTAGAACCTACACACATATAAACACACACACACACACACACACACACACACACCACACACACACACACACACACACACACACACACACACACACACACACACACACACACACACACATATATATATATATATATATATATAATATATATATATATATATATATATATATATATATATATATATATATATATATATATATATATATATATATATATATATATATATATAATATATATATATATATATATATATATATATATATATATATATATAGGGTGCTTCTTTCCTTTTAGCAAGGAGCTTCACTTCAACAACCTAATTCTTTGTAATATTGTATATACATTGTCTGTGAATGTATAA